TTAAGTTGGCCTGGATTGGCACCACGTTGGCCTAGATTGGAAAAATATTAAGTTGAAGGCTTATGCCTTGTTGATGGCTCTATTTATTGGCAGATTTTTAAGTTGGAAGTTCTGCTCCAATGGTACCACATGCATGTGCATTGTAATTGAGTCGCATTCGGTGTTGCATCTTGAGTTGTGGTGAAGATAGATTTTTTGTTGCTTTATAGTGTTGACTTATTGTGACAGGTATCATTTAAAGGTTGTGAATTAGTTGTTATGTCGTCTTGATGCTTTGTTGAGATTAAAGATGTTTGAAAGTTGTGAAGTGGTGATTTTATATTCCTAAATTCTAATATATGATTTATCATGCGCTCACTTATACGATTTGAGAATCTGACCCCTTACTATTTGAATGTTACCCTCTGTTAGTAAGGTGCAGGTAATCAAGAAGGATAGTTGTACATTGTTAGTTCGAGTCGGTGTCGTTGCTCTGATACGTAGCACCCAGAGGGATGAACGCTTAATGATTAGTTGTTGATTATTATTTCTGTTGTTGAATCTTTAAGTTGTTTACATGAAATAATTGTTGTCTTGAGGTTGTTTTAGTTGAATAAAAGATGTTAAGTGAATTGAAGTTGAGTATCTATATTCTGCTGCTTATCAATAAAAAGTTGTTTGATTTTGAAGAATAAATCAGATTGTTATCGGTTTATCCGAGTTAACTGTTATGTATCTGTTTGTATGCGGTTAAATGAAGATTTATTTTTAGTTGAAAATGTAGCATCCTATTTCTGTTGAACTCTGAATTTATTATTATCCACCGGGGAGAAACGGGGTGTTACAATAGTGGTATCAGAGCAGGTCGGTCGGTCCGACCAAGTGGTCTAATGTTGTTTGTTCCTTAGTGCGTGACAAGTGTGTGAAACACTGTCGATACTTGTTTGCCTTAATTGCAGGAAGTTGGTTGAAGATAAGTGAGGGAGAAGCTTTGCTTCTCGGATATGTTCAATTGAAAGGTGTTGGTTTGGTATGCTGCCGACAAACACAATGCAAGAGTTGGAGTCTTGTTGTTCTCGAATTTTAAGGTGACTTGGATTCAAGGTCTTGTTGTTAGTCGAGTTAGAGCTCCTTGAGAGAAATTGATTAGACATTGTTGGTGCTTACTTCTCGAAGAATGAAGAGCGGTGTAATATTTGTTAATTTACGAAGCAAGTGTAAGATGTCGATGTTTGAACAATGATGGAGTAATAAATTTGTTGTAACTCTTGTGTTGGGATCACATAAGTTATTGTCGGAAGTAGTTGACGTTGATAAGTAATTGTGAATCGCGAGTCTTAGTCAAAACTTGAAGAAGTGAGTAGCGTTGCAAAAACAATCGTTTCCCTGGTGTTTTGGAACCTCAACTTTGGCGAAGGAATGCATCTATCGAGTTATAAGAAGTTTGGGAGCACGAGATATGTTAGGAGTTGTTTGGAATATGTCTAAGTTGAAGACAAATGAGTTTTAGAGTGGAATTTTCGTAAGCGAATCGCACGAAACTGCAGAATTATTGTGGGACTTCGAAAATTCATAACTAGAGTTTCGGGCATCCGATTTGAGTTTCATTTGAAGCGTTGGAAAGCTAACGAAATGAGCTTCATTTTTAAAAATTGTTCCAATAACTGTAATAGATTCATTTATCACGTGATGATATTGGAAGATTTATTTAAAGTAATTTATGAAATCAAAGGTATCATTTGGAATGCTTTGGTGTTATTAATTAGAACGAAAGACGATAGTGAAAAGTTACGTGAAATTTACGGTGTCAAAAAGGAGGAAGATTTATGCTAAGTTGTCAGGATGTATGGTATAGTTTAGGGAGAAGAGTTCTCTGGAGTAATTTTATTTCCAAGTGAAAGTGTATGTAGATCCATTCAAGGTGGATGCAGTTGCAAGTTGGAGAAGAACGAAGTCTGTTACAGAGGTTAGTAGCTTGTTGAGCTTAGATGATTATTATCATAGTTGTTTGAGGTGTAGATATATATGAAATGTTGTTAGATAAGATGATAATATTGAGAGTGTGATTGAAATGATTTTGAGAGGTGGAGATACATGTATTTTTGATGTTGTGAAATTCAGAAGAGGATTAAGAGTTTAAGGATGTTATTAGAATCCTTTATATGGATAATGACTCAGACTAGAGTGGAAGGATTTGTAATGTATTGATATGCCAACATATCTCGAGTTGGAAAATGATTGATCATCGTGGGATGGTGGGCGAATAAGGATTAGACATGTTGTGTTTTAGAAAACTTGAATACGAGTTTTAAGGAAACGCTATTATAGTTTGGTACGACGATTTATACTCACTTATGGTTGTTGAATACTAATTGACAAATTGAGGAACTGATCACCCTCAATCCATTGATAATAGTAGACGAGATTATGTTTGATGTTATAGATTTGTCTTGCTATCTTAATGGCATGAAAGAGTATGGATGTTATATCGCGAGAATAATCGCTCACCAGTTTGTGTGAAATTAGTAGAGGAGTCGTTGAGTGAGAGTTGAGACGTAATGAACAATTCAGAGTAGTGGGTTTGTATGCGAGCTAACGTCGCAAAGTGAAAGATTGAGAATATCAAGTGAACAAGATTTTATGACAGATGTTAAAGAAAGTTTTGGATTAGATTGAAACTTGTAAACCATATAATCGACGGGAAATTTTAATGAGGACGATGACTTAAGATGGATGATCAGAGTTGCACAGCTGAAGCGTGATGTGGTGCAATTGCTATGCGTGTACTACTCGTTAGAAGTGAAGGATTAAGACATCAGAAGCATATGGGAATGGTGTATCTTAATTTACATGCTTTATTTGGTGGATGGTTGATATAGATATGTTGTGCCAGGGCACTATGTTTGCTAGTAAATATTTGCGGATTTTATAAGGAAATTATTGTGGTTGTTAGTTGATGGTGAGTTGTTGAGTTATACTGCTAAGTTGACGTTATAATGATTTTGTTCCTGTTGTCGTGATGTTGTTGTTGGTTACAATAAGGAATGAATAATACTCCATAATACGATGAAGTTGATTATGTTGGATATGTTGGTGTCACTATAAGAGCGATACGACTATGTGAACAGACTTGTTGATATTTTGTTGAAGTGATTGATAAGTTGTTAGAGGTTATGTCGCGGAGATGTTGAATTATTAACACACGTGGATTCGAATTATATCATATTGAGTGTTGTTATATCGAGAAAGTTGTGGTCAAAGTGTTGCCACACACGAATTGAATATCAAAGAGTGGGATGCGAAATTCGCATTAAGAGTGACCATATCAAGTAGATTTTCGAGGACAAAAATATTCTAAGTGAGGGAGAGTTGTAACACCCTGATATTTAATTATTTATTTATTTAAATATTTTTGAATATTTTATATTAATTCGAATTTTTATCGTCGAAGTCGGAATTATTTTATTTAGTGGTATAATAAATAATCGGATTTAATTTGGTGGAATTAAGTTGAGAATTATCAGTATTATTCTAAGAAGAATAATTGGATAAATATGTTGAGTTGAGCGGTAAGTTGATAGTCGGATAAATTAGACGGTTTAGTCGGAGAACTATTATTAGAATATTATTTGCGAGTTAGTATTATTTAAAGTCTGGATCGATCATAGTTGAAGAATATTATTGGAAATAATATTAGATTATATTATGTGACTATTTATTTAATTGGGCTTATGTTGTGATAGTAGTAATAGTGAGGTGTGTATGTCGGCCCACTAAGAGAAACACTATTTTTTGGAATAAGAAAGTATGGAGATTAGGCTTTATGGTGGGTATCAGTAAGAAAAGAAATGGGGGTTTGGAACTTTTGGAAGATAGATCATGAAACAAGGTTGCAGACAAAGAGGGACGAGGATTTTGGCAGAGAAAGGGGTTGATCGATGATTGCTAGAAAGGGGCAAAGGCTTGCACTCCAGCGGATATTAGAGACAGTCTCCAATCCAAGATAAGGGTGGAGTTTCTTATCCTATAATGGGACATATGATATGTTGTATGTGAGGATTTAGGGTGTGAATTTATTGTTGTTTGTGTTTGTTTATGGAAATGGATGTTATGAATTAGATAGTGTTGATTATTGGTGAAATTTCATGTTCCTGTGTTATGTGTTGAATAATATGTGAATTGTTATACGTTGGTTCTGTGAATAGAATGAAACTGGAGAAGTAACAGGAAGTTGCAGAAAATTATTCATAATGGGGCATGCCAGTCGTCAGGTTGTTCGTTATTGTTGGATGTCGGTCGACAAGGTAGGGATGAAGAGTGACGATCGGCAAGGTGTGTGGGTAGAGGTTGCCAATCGGCAGCCTTGAGAGAGAGAAGAGTGTCATTCGGCACAAGGTATTGAGAGGGAAGAAGAGTTTCGTTCGACACTGTCTATTAGGTGCAGAGGCACTTGTTTCTTTCTGTAGCAATATGTTATATAATTTTTTTATGGTATCAGTATAAAATTCATTAATACAAAAGCCAAGCAGTTAGGGAACAAATTGAACCATGTTTATCAGTAGTATGTTATAGCAGAAAGATATTAATAGAAGTAGCCCTTATGTCAGTAATCTTAATCTAGTAGTTACAATATAATTTTAACAGCCTGTAAAAATAAGACATAGTTGGAAATAATTAGTAAAGTTACAGTAACTGTTTTAGAGGATTGATTAAATAGCAGAAGAAAAGATATATTGCCAGTTAGTTATTTAGAAGTGAATATTAGGAGAATAATTAAATAATGAAGAACTAATACATAGAGAGTTATGGGAGTGTTTTGAAAACAACTGTCATGTTTGTGTTTTCTTTGTGGTGTGCGTTGATGTTATGATGTTGTGATAATTTTGTGATGATGCGAAGTGCAGGAAGAATTGTGTTATGGGTCATTGTTGTGAATAAGTCGTTGTCAAATACATCGAATATATCATTTTTTATATGTTATGATAAAAGATTGAATTATCTTTTGGTTCTGTAATATTCATATGAATTCCCTTCTTCTTCAGCCTATTTTTCTTCCACGCGTGACTTTTCTTTTCCTAATTTGTTCAGGGTCTGGAAACGACAGTATCGGTCGCCATGGTTTGATTCATAACAAAACGACTAGCTACGATTTCTTCCTGCTCTATGATCAAATATCGTCTTCAATCGGCTCCATATTTGCTTCTTTTGGTATCGGTACCCAAAACGTGCACAACTTATGCAGATTTATCAGACCCATTTGATTCAAGAGTCCTCATCAAAATAAAAGTAGAGCAATCATTACTACATAACATTGATAATAAAGGCAAAAATGTTATGGAGGTAAACAATAAGTCATAAAGGATGAATTTACTAGTTTCTGATCTTACCTTTAGGTATAGGTGCGATAATTGATAAAGTCAACACTCGGTACCACACTATTCTGTTGTTAGGTTGGTTTAACAGGAATGTTACACTGACCAAGGGACACACGAAGGGGTCACCGGAGTTTCGATCCTCTAACGAAATTTAGGCCGTCTCCACGAGATACTATCCAGAGGCATATTTATCAGATCTGGTCAGATTGAATCGTCTCGTCCTGTAGGAATCGTTGACAGTCTCGATTGATAACTCTTCACTGGTCGACACATGACTGAGAGATCATGGAAATTTCTTGAGGCGATCGGCTCTGACGACAAGAATATGAACCGGGAAATGAAAAGGTTGTTGGAACTTGGGTATGAGAATATTTTTTCCATGGTTAAAGATCAGTAGATTTCTTTTTCCCTTTTTCACCTTGAAGGTTATGTTAGTTTTATCGAGGCTCACGGTAGACACCAAATGTTTATGCCAAAAATATTAGTTGGATAATCTCTCTTATGTGAATCAGGCGAGACTGCAGCTGCATCTGTACAGTGTTTAAGATATTTTTTAGGAGAAGGATGAAGGACCTCCATTATTACTGGTCCCAAGACTTTTACATATTATTTCTTTTTATGTTATACATGCGTTATCACTGCTTGTCCAATAGGTATAGCCACCAACCCCATTTTATAGTATAGATATGTTTAATAGATATTAAGATAGGTAATTGGTTCCTCATAATTACTTGTACCAAACTCATTAATCATTCGAAATTGATTCCATTATTAACTATTGCGTAACGAACCCAACCTTTGATTAGCCTTTTGTAACGGAAATGCACCGTTAAAAATGGACTCTCGGATTCCGAGATGGAAATTTATAGCGACAAAGTTATATTATCCAACTAGTGAGACACCTATGCGTTTGCACGAATATGGGTATAGTACACGCATTTATTTTTAAAATATATAAATTTTTTAAAAATATTATTATTATTTTGAAATTATTATCAAAAATATTGAAACAAATAGTTTTATTATTATTCAATATTTTGATCATTAATTTCATGTTCCAGTTATTATTTAATATTTTATCAGTAATTTCATGTTTCTGTTATTATTAAATATTTTGATCAATAACTTCATGTTTCTGTTAATATTCAATATTTAGATTAATAATTTCATGTTTCCATTAATATTCAATATTTTTATTAGTAACTTAATGTTCCCGTTAATATTCAATATTTTTTTCAATAATTTCATGTTATCATTAATATTCAATTTTTTTATTAGTAATTTCATGTTTCCTATAATGTTCAATATTTTGATCAATAACTTCATGTTCTTGTTAATATTTAATATTTTGATTAATAATTCCATGTTCTCCTTAATATTCAATATTTTATCAATAATTTCGTATTCTCGTTAATATTCTATATTTTGATTAGTAACTTCATATTTCCCTTAATATTCAATATTTTGATAAGTAACTTCATATTCCCGTTAATAATTTAACTTTTTTAAATATTAATAGATATTTATTTGTCAATCTTCATAATCTTCATTTTTCTAACAAAAAATTAAAATATTGAAATGATGTTTGAATCTCTATGTTTAAAAAATCACACTTGTCATGCTCGAATATAGCCCGTTGACAATTATGATACAGTGGGAGAACTGACTTGAAGGTTTTGCATTTGATCGCAAATGTTGCGGTTAGCAAGAGTCGCCACCGACTTTTCTTTTATCCAAAAGGAAAGGTGAAAAAGCACAGGAAAGACCTTTGAGATTATTTCTTGAGTTCGGGGGGTAGATTATGAAAAGGGAAGGTATTATCACCCTTTTCATCCATGGTTTTCCATGGGCTCTTAGTTACTTGCTAGATCACTTGCTTTTGTTTGAAATTGTGCTTTGCGTGGTTTTTGAAAGTATTTTGTAAAGAGACCATTGTTTAGGCAAACTTTGTAATGATTCTCGTTCGTAAGAATGTATACAAAGTGTTTGATCTTTTGAAAATGTTTTCAAGTTTGTAAGATGTTTTGAAAGTGTAGGTGTTTGTTTTTAAAAATAGCAAGGATTTTTTGTTTTGAAAGTGATCAAGTAACTAGGAGAATTCTACCTACTCAAAAGTCTTTCATGTTCATTTCCTCTTTCCTTTGACATTGTTATCTTACCATTGATTTGGTAAATAACCCTATCTTTAGATGTAAACGGGACGGGCGTAGGTCGTCGTATAACCACGATTAGCAATGTTACAAGGTATCTTAGCATTCTCTTTTAGGGACTAAGATCATTTTAAAGGCAACTTAGATAGCATTATCGAGGGACTATGATCTTGTATTTTGCTAAGATACCTCACATGCGTAATATGGCCATTTTGCAAGGCAACCAAGTGGACTTTACCCTAAGGGTGTTTGTGTGCAAGTGTATTATTTTCATGCTTGATTTTGTCTTTGATTAGAGTTTTCTAAGCATTGGTTTTAGTCTTTTCATACAAACCCTAATTACTAACATTTGTATATAAAGCGATAAATTGCGGAATTTAAAATTACTACGCTATTACAATACTTGTGGGAGGGGGTGTACAAATTATAAATGGGGATTGCAAGAAAATAAAGCCTAATTATCTATTACAACCATATTGAATTTGTACAAGCATTGAATAAATAATGTACAAAATTAATAAATATACAAGAATGTAAATGTGAAGAAAATGAATATTTTTGTTTGGATTTTTTAGAAAGAAAGGGGTTTTGTTTTAACCTAATTAACTAAAGAGAAATAATTAATTAAATTAGTAAAAAGTAAAACCTAAGTTTACTAGGAAAATAATTCAAATAAAAACCTAATCTAATCATTGATTAAAAAGAAATTAAGTTCATAAGAAGAATATTTTTGGCATTTTTGTCTTGAAAATAATTTATAGTATTATAAAATATTTTTGGTCTTTTTTTTTGTTTTAAAATAATATATTTTAATGGTGTAAAAGAAAATAACTAAAATCCTAGTTTTTTTTAATTAAATTTAAAAATCAAATTAGTAAAATAAATAAAGTATGATTAAATAAAATATTTTTTTGGGTAAAAAAATAAATAAACTATATTAAAATATAAATCTAATATTTTTGTATTTTTTCTGATTTTTTAGTATTAGGCAAAATATTTAAGAAAACAAATAAATAAAAATAAGAAAAAGAAAATAAAATGGGCCAGGGGCTGTGTAAGTGAAACAGGGGGTGAGAAGTAAGAAAAAACATAAGGCCCAAGGGAGGCCCAATGCTGCCAAAAAAAATGAAAAAAATAAAAAAAGGGTACCACTGGGGCTCGAACCCAGGTCCCTCCAGTCACAGGCGCGCGCTTCTACCACTAGGGTGGCTATACATCTGTTTATATAATCAAAACAACAAATATATGATAGTAAACAAGTCCATGGCCTGAACTTCATCTTCAACCTCACGCCCAGCCAGAGCCTCTGTATCTTGTTCAAATCTCAATAAAAATGAAAACTGTAAACAGGAAACTTGTAGCAAATTTCTTCACGATTTCAGAAATGCAAAGCAATAAAATTATGGATCAAAGATAAGCATGAATTTTAATGGCCATAATCTGAACCCTAAAAATCTCAGAAACTTCAACCTTAAAATTCTCTAAGCTCAAGCAAAATTAATGAAAACTATGGACATGGTTAGCTTTAGGGCAATGATATCTACATTTTCATTCACAAAAAAATTACCTTGCAAGAGGGTATCGGGTTTAGAGTTTGAGTAGCTTCCAGTGAGTTCCAATGATTGGATTAGCTTCCTCAAGTTCCCAGGAAGCTAATGGGATGCTTAGCTTGAGCTGAAAGTGCCTGAGGAGTTCTAGAGAAGTCAAGATGCAAGGTGCTATTTTTGAAAATGGTGGATGATGATGGAGGTGTTACATTGGTGTTGCAGGTGTTGGGATTGTTTGTGTATGTTGTTTAGAAGCTTTTGAAAGTGAAAGGCCAAAAAATGCACGAGCAAATTTGGAGATTGGATTCAACACTCAGAAATGACAAGTTTTGAAGTGTGTTTTGTGATTATGTGTTCTTGGTGTTTTCAGGGGTCAAGCATGTGTGGGATTTGTGGAAAATGGCTTGTGTATGTATAAGCAAAAGGGTTTGAGTGCTTTTGAAAGTCAGAAGTACAAGTTACAAGCTATTTGCTATGTTACTTGATTTTCAAGAAAAGTGGGAAAACAAGTTTCAAGGGGAAGTACAAGAATGGGTTGGGTGATTGTAAGTGTCTAACAATTTTCTTATGAGTTATGGGACTTGTATGATCATAAGAGAACAAGTGCAAGGCTCAAGAAAAAGTTTTGTGCAAAAAAGCACTTTATCAAAATGGCATTGTGCACTTTCTTCCCAAAATGGATATAAAGAACGGCCTTGCATTGGATGCTTGAATTGAGACCTCTAACAGTTGTGCAAGCAATTAATTATGTAGTGCCTAACAAGTTTGAGTCCTGCAAAGTAGAGTTTATGCAACATGAGTTTGAATTTGAATCTTGTTCATCACAAAAATGCCTTGTAATTCAAGTGATAAAACCCTAACTTCATCTCTTCGATTCTCTCTACTCAAAAATGATATCAAGGAGTTATTGGACATTTTGGAAATCTTGCAATGTGATCTACAACCCATATTTGAATCACTTTTGAAAATTACCCTTGGAACTAAATGAAAAAGTTCCATGAAGTTAGGTCAAAACCCTGACCAAATTAGGGCAAAACTTCACAAAGTGTTTTTGTTTCATGACCATGTATTCTTAAAATTATAACTTGAGATCCAAGCACTTTTGAAAGGAGTTGTGTGAATAAAAGTTGTAGATTTCTTGGAAATATACAACTTTTATGTTGGAAGTTTCTTTTAAATCATCTTACATAATGGTGAAAATTTTGCTCAAAGTTATGAAAAAATAAGAAATTTCCAACACTTAGAAAAATTTCTAAGTTTAGAAATTTTAACTTTTCAAAATGAAATCTTGAATTTTTGATTTCTTGATGAATAAGTTTCATATTTTGACATACTTTGGTGAATTGTGATCTTTGACATTTGATTTTAAACAAAAAGTCAAAGTTTGACTTTTCAGTATACAATTGACTTTTGGTCAATTGATTGAAAATTCATCTGTTAATCTATTGGAATTGAGCAATGTTTTGAGCCATGTCATTAGGTCAAAATGATGCAATTGGACTCTTGAGATCATGCCTTAACTCAATTGATCATTTTTTAGGTCAAAAATAAAAAATTGTCCTTTCCCAGTCAAAACCCTAATTTTGACCATTTTGCCCTTTTGAAGATTTGATCAAATTTCTTGAGGAATTGTGATCCAAACTTGATCAAAGGATACATGTGAGTTTAAAGTGTTGACGTGGATCAAAAATTATGAAGTTTGACTGTAAATTGGCCACAGTTGACTTTTTCCCCAACATAGTTGATTTTTAAGTCAACTGCCCAATTGACTGAACAAAAGTGTGATTCAAAGCTTGAAACATGACATGAGTAATATTGAGGGTCCATAATGATCCATGAAAGTCATATGGGGCATTGGAAGTTCAAATACCCTTGTGCAATC